AGCAAGTGGGTCCCCAGCCTGTAACAATGCTTGGGATTCTTCCGTCCCAAGTGCAGGTCTCTACACATGTCCTTGTTGAACCTCATCTGATTTCTTTTGGCCCAATCCTCTATTCTGTCTAGGTCTCTCTGAACCCTATCCCTACCCTCCAATGTATCTACCTCTCCCTCAGCTTATTGTCCTCCACCAATTTGCTGAGGATGCAATCCATCCCCTCATCCAGGTCATTAATGAAGATGTTGAACAAAACCGGTCCTAGAACCGAACCTTGGGGCACTCCACTTGAAACCGACCTCCAACCTGACATTGAGCCATTGATGACTCCCTGCTGGGCCCGACAATCTAGCCTGTTTTTTATCCACTTTCCAGTCCATTTATCCAATCCATACTTCCTTAACTTGCTGGCAAGAATATTGTGGGAGACCGTATCAAAGGCTTTGCTAAAGTCAAGGAATATCACATCCACTAGGGTAAGTGGATAAACTAAGCCAATGAGAGAACTATCACCTAATAGTTTAAAATGTCTGCATTAAAGCATCTCACTTGCACAGCCACACTGATGCGGCATTTTAAGTGTAAGTGCCCTAACTAACTTACATGCTTTTGAAAATTTTATCCTAATCTATTAGTGAAAATTAATGGAACTAAGGGCCTATCTTCACACTGAGTTAATGGGCAGCAGGCTGGGGTGCAGACATTACAGGACACCAACTTGCTATGTGCTAACTCTCTCTCTGAACATAAGAACATAAGAACAGCCGTACTGGGTCAGACCAAAGGTCCTTCTAGCCCAGTATCCTGTCTACCGACAGTGGCCAGCACCAGGTGCCCCAGAGAGGGTGGACCGAAGACAATGATCAAGCGATTTGTCTCCTGCCATCTCTCTCCAGCCTCTGACAAACAGAGGCCAAGGACACCATTTTATCCCCTGGCTAATAGCCTTTTATGGACCTAACCTCCAAGAAATTATCTAGCTTCTCTTTAAACTCTATTATAGTCCTAGCCTTCACAGCCGCCTCTGGCAAGGAGTTCCACAGGTTGACTACACGCTGTGTGAAGAAGAACTTTCTTTTATTTGTTTTAAACCTGCTACCCATTAATTTCATTTGGTGACCTCTAGTTCTTCTATTTAGGGAACCTCTGGCACCATGCACATAACAGTCCCTACTGCACTTTGACATACTCCTGTTTCAAACGCTCTGTGTCAAAATGCACTAGAAAACTGTAGTGGCTAGTAGCAGGATCTAGAGGGTGACTTAGTGTATGGCCAGCAAATGTTCCACAGAATCACACCCTGGCTTGCTCCACACTAGCTCGCCACACAGAAAAGCCCTCGGGCTCTGAAAGGTGTTGAAGAGACCTGAACATGCTCAGGCCCTATGGGGCCAGTTCTAGGAAGATTTCACTGGTGTCAACTGCAACCCACTCATCCCCACTCTGGGGAAACTAGCTCTGTTAGTAGAAGTGCACCTTTGCCAGTTTAGCAGTATGTACTGTGGAGGGCTTTTCCTGGCAGAACTGTGTTGGGAACAGATCACAGCTCTGCACATGCAAACCAACGTTGCCAGCCAGCCAAAATTTGGCCTCTGTATCTGACATCCTCTTTTCCACAAGGGTAGTTTCTCTTACTTTATCCTCCTCCCTGCAGGTGGTGCTGGAAGCTGCTTCTGCAGTGCCAAAATTAGAATATTAAACAGAGTCTTGTGAGCGGTTATTTATTTCATAGAATCACACAATCTTAGAATCCTAGGGCTGGAAGAGACCTCAGGAGGTCATTGAGTCCAGCCCCCTACCCAAAGCAGGACCAACCCCAACTAAATCATCCCAGTCAGGGCTTTGTCAAGCCGGGATTTAAGATGGGACTTATTTATTTGAATCTCTCAGTAACAGGAAAAACTATAATTTAGAATTTTTAGGACTTTCCCATTATATTCCTTTAAGGCTGATATTAGCCCTTCTACATTTTTAGTTGGATGCAATGGACACACAAAATCATCTTCATATACTTTTAGGGCCAGAAGGGATCATTAGATCATCTAGTCCACCTTCTTGTACAGACCAAAGAACTCCATCCAGTTACTTCTCTATTGAGCTCAATAGCTTATATTTAACTCAGGCACTTCTTCTAGAAAGGCATCCAGTCTTGTTCTGAAGACATTAGAGATGGCGAATCCACTACTTTCCTTAGCAATTTGTTCCAATGGTGAATTACTTTCACCGCTGGATGGGTTGTCTTCTTTCTACTTTAACTTCTTTAATCTTTACTTTTTCTCTGTGAGGCACTTTTTCCAAGCCCTCAATTTCTGTGATTCTTTTCTGCACTCTCTAATTTTTCAAGTCCCATGGTAAATATGGACACCAGAACTGTACACAGTGTTCCAATATTGGCCTCCCTAACTCTGTGTACACAGGTAAAATTGGCATTCTAGTCCCACTCAGTGCTCCCCTGTTTATACATCTATAGAACCCATTAACCTTTGCCACAGCACTGCATGTTGAGCTGTCTGCCCACTATACATCCTGAATCCTTTTCAGAGTCACTGCTTTCAGAATACAGTCTTCCCTTCTGGAGATATGGATGGCATTCTTTGATCCTAGAGGCCTGACTTTGCATTCAACCATATTAAAATACAGTTTGCTGAATGGGTCTATCTTACCAAGCAACTCAGATTGCCCTGGATAACTGCCCTGCCCTCACATTATGTACCATCCTGCCAGTCTCTGCCTTAAAAGCTATCATCAGTGATTTTATATTTACCTCCAGACTACTGATGAAAATGTTGAAGAACAGTGGGCCTAGTACCTGCAGAACCCCATTAGAACATCCCTATATGATGAGCATGTCTTTCTGAGATCTGTCTGAACCTATGGGCTTCTTACTGGGCAGCGTTACTTCCTCACTGCAACATTCAGCCAAAAGAGGGATCCATAACTTCTCCAGCACATGAAAGGGAAGTAGTGCAAGAGGCCAGGAGGGATCTGGATAGAGCAACATGCTGGAGTCAGCAGCTTGGGAGCTGGTGGCAAAGCAAAGGCTGGACAACTTAAGATCTGGGAGCCAGCCTGTTTGTGGCAAAAGGCCCAGTGGCAGTCACATCAGGCAGAAACCCAGAAGTATCCTGTATATGGCAGATAAGCATATGGACTCACTGAGGAGTGTTGGTGCTAGACAAGAGGACTGGACTCTGTCTGGGGGATCTGCAGGTCAATGTGTGCCTGCCTATAGGAGAGCAGTGGCCTGGAGTAAGTACCTTTGGCACCCATCTGTAGGGCCACCACTTCTCTACCCCTGCTACTGGACTGAAGGGCCTAGTGCTTGGAGCTCCTCCAGCATGTCTCTGAACTTCTGGTACACTCTGCACACTACCAACCAGCTAGGGTACTGCTGTTCCACAACACTCAGGGTACATCTAGACTACAGGCTTTTGTCAACAGAAGTTTTGTTGACAGATACTGTCAACAAAGCTTCTGTCGACAAAGAGCATCTAGACTACAGCCAGTTCTGTCGACAAAGCAAGCTGCTTTGTCGACATGACAGTGTAGACGCAAAGCACAATGTAGATGCAATAACGCCTTCTGTCAACAGAATTCTGTCGACAAAA